CCCTGCATGCAGTCTGATAAGCTACTCACAAACAATCTTCCACCCAGAATTTGGGGGTCTGGGCCTCTCCTCCCATACTTCCTTCCTCCCCCCTCTTACCTCTACTCACCACCCCAAAAGGGGAGGCAATGATTTCATGTTGCCTTGATAGAAACATTTCTCTTACCTAGGTATTACTCATTATTAACTACCTTCTTACATTAGTGTAACTCAGTTATAAACCTGTTGTTACATCCACCAAACTACAAGCAAGGGCCTTTGTCATGGGGCTTCAGACACCAAGTTTACAAATGTGTATAGCCAATTTTTGAGGGGTTTCTTGGGTGTAGCAGTGGAGTTATTGTTGTGTTATACACTGTTTAAAGCATGGAAATATGCACACATTGCCTCCCTTTTTGGGGTGGTGACTGTCCCCTACTTCTGCTCCTCCAACGCTGTAACACATAGTAATACCATAACATCCTTGCATCACACATCTCCTCTGTTATACCTTGTCTACTGTATACATGATAACTTTCCTCCTCTTGTAATAGTATAGCCTATCCACTGTATGTAACTTCCTCCTCTTGTAAAACCCTTCCTGTCTTTGATGTCTTTGATTTTCTTATTCAGCTTATCTAGACCTAGCATTATTATTGCTCTCTTATATCTAGTCTGTCTGGTCTTAACTCAATCTTCTCTCAGTTTTTTTTTGATCATTTTCTCAAACCACATCTTGGCCAACTTGTATCTAGTCTATTTAAACACAGCCTAGTCCAAGCAATTTACCTCACCTGTTCTTTCCTTCTTTTTCCGCCATTGAGCTGGTCTGGTGCCTAAAATCACTGCAATCCTCCTTTCCTTTCTTTTTCCTCTTGGAGCTCCAGTTCAGAAATTGAACAAATACCTTGCTCCTTTTGTAATAATATAGGTTTTCCCCATGTGTATTACTACATGATAGCTTCCTCCTCTTGTAATGAATGTCTTGTGTGTATAACTATGCTATCCCAATACCTGTGCAATGTGCTTTTGGAATTGTAACACAAATGGAACACCACAGCGGCTGGCTCTGAAAGCAAACAACAACCCATGGAATCAGAAGGCACAGAAACAGGTTTAAGTTTTACAACAATGTTGAGTATGGAAATATAGATTATTGCAATCACAACTGGATCAAAAAACATCTCACAGGTCTCCCAATAGATTAATTGAATGGTTAAGTGATGGAGTCTTTAAAAAATTCCATTCTTGATTTCCACACAGCAGAGCTCGTGAGTTCTGGGAACTTGATGGTGGTAGATATGTAAGCCAAATGACTGGATGGTTGTAAACTTTGTGTCATCTTCTTCCTTTGTTGCATACCAGAATTAAGTTAAGCCTAAGAGTAAATTAGCTTGATCATTTCTTTGAGTTGAAGCTCTCATTGGTGAAGCTCATGGCCATGATACCAGAGAATCACTGTTTGGAGATAGATTCCTTGTGTGATTTAGGGCCTGTGCCCTTGCACCAAAAAAACAACCCAGTGATTCCTGAATTTCCTTGGAAAGAAAGATTTTTGGCATAATTATGTTCCAGAAGGTGAAGTTGAATTTAAGTTGATTTCACACTATTCATGGGACCCTATTAGTGAAATAAAAGGGTATTCTTCAAATGACACCCAAAAATCAAAGAAGAAAGAAGAAAAAATATTCTCCCAAGGGGGCTCGAACCCCTGACATCAACGTCTCTTTCGAGATTGTGCTCTTCAAAGCATACCAGCTTCCTCTCAATTGAAGAATGCCGTAATATAAGCATTGCGCTCTACCAACTAAGCTATGGGAGAGATAGTAAAGTTGGTGAAATCAGAACTATACTGCTTCACCCTTGTTGATCAGATCTGCCACGCACTATCACAAAAAAAGAAAAGGAGATTGACAAGTTAAGATTTTGTGGTACAACCACGAAATAGCAAACTCCAATCTGGGAATGATGGCTTGATCAGAGGGGATGGTGGGAGAACTGCAGAAGAAGACGCCCCATCACAACAGTACATCCTCAAAGGCATAAATACCACTCCCACGTCCTATCAACAACATCATCATCAACCAATCATGATACCACTGCCCTTGATCCTGCTCTGGCTGGCCCGCGTCAATTGCTACCAATGTCCCGAGGAAAACAAGGAGGAGGTCGACGAGCATGGATTCTTCCACCAGGTATCTATCTATTTAAAATCTGAAATAAAATAAAATAATCTCACCAGAATGCTACTCATACTCCTTCTACCAGGGCTTACATGTCGGATGGGATGCACACCACATCGGCTGGGTGAGCCTTCCCAACTGATACCTTCCCGTCTGCCGCTGCTGCTCACTCACACTCCATCACAGGCCGCTGCAGGCGTCATGGCATCCATCGCCACACTTGCCAGTCTCACCAACATATAGTTAGTAGTATCCCCTCCCACTCAATTAGTTGCTCTATGCCCCTACCTAACCCGCCTGAACTGCTCTTTTCTTTATATCTTTATTAGCCTCCACTGCAAAAACTATAACAAGCCTCTCGAACAGCGTCAGATCGTCCGCATCCTTCTCATGCCCCCCATATACGCTATCAGCTCCTTTTTTGCCTACCGCTTTTACCGCCACTACGTCTACTTTGCTGTCATCAGGTACCTCTCCTTCTCTTCTCTATTTCAATTCCCCATCTAACTCGTCTTGTATACTTACAAACACGCCTCTCATTTATATAGGGATACATGTAAGTCTTCCTCGGCTGTTTATTTGCTTTGAATAAATGATTGACGATAGGAAGAAAAATCGATAGACGAGGGCTGCGTGCTGGCTTCCTTCTTGATTCTTTGTCTGCTTTATGTGGGGCGCTCGCCGCTCGAACAACATGAGGTCATGAGACAGAAAGAGAAAACACCCTTGGTCTTCCCTTTCTGTTGTTTCCGGTAAGCCCCTTTTCCCTTTCCTCGTTGGCCCCCTTTCGGCGGAATCTTGACATATTCACCCGTCGCCTTCTTTGCCTCAGATATCGGCCCTCAAAACCTTACTTTCTCATCGCCACCAAATGGAGCGTCTTACAAGTACTCACACTCCCTCTCACTCACTCGCACTTCTCCAACCACTGACCATCATCCTCTCTGCCGTCCAGTACGTCATCCTCCGGCCCCTCATCTCCGCCACCGCGCTCATCACGGACACCCAGAAAGTATTCTGCGCCTCAACGTACAGCCCCCACTTTGCCAACGTGAATTTCCTCCCTTTAAAACGTCCCCGGGGAAACTTCCGCGGGGAAAAATAAAAGACAACCAGAACTGATTTTTTCTCTCTTTTTTTTTGTTGAACAGTTGTGGTTGACTATTATTATCTTCATCTCCACCACTATCGCTCTCTACGGCCTGTTGATCACCAAACATTTAGCGCAAGAAGACTTGAAAGGACACCGACCGACATGCAAGTTCATGTCGATCAAGTGGGTCCATATCTTCCCCGCGATGTCTCACGGACCAGACAACGGCTCATGATTTTTTTCAAAAAAAAATCCCCGGCGCGACAACAGGATTGCGGTTTTCTTGGTATTTTACCAGAGCTTCCTGCTGTCTTTTTTCGACCATATAGGGCTCTTCAGGGACACGGAATACTGGTCCAAAACCAACATCGCCGATGGCGTCAACGCCCTCGCTACCACTATTGAGATGGCCATTGTCGCCCTCTTTCAGCTCTACGCCTTGTTCAGCCACCCTCCCTTTTTTTTACTCTTGCATCGCACCGTGACTTACTCTTATTTTATTATGTATACAGCTCGTACACGGAATATCGCGCGGTGATTAAAGGCTCCGAAGTCAACCGCCAGAAATCTGCCTGGAAGAATTTCTTGCATTCTCAAGAGTGATTCCGTGATTTCCATACATGCATGTATAACATTTGCTCAATTTAGATTTCTTTATTTATTTTTTATCGCGTAGTTATCGAGACTTTGGACGCGATATTGTGATGGGGATCAGGTTCTTTATCGACCGCTTGCGAGGGGAAGCGTACACGAAGTCGCGCCACGCGACGCCTCAGGGCACCAATGGGCTGGACTTCCAGGCGGCGGTAAGTGTTGACCCCAAGTTGAATCCTGGAAAGCATGTGAGTTGACTGAACCCTTTTTTCGATTGCAGTTTGGCCTCGACCCGGGACACACCAGGATTAGAGACCCTGAATGGAAGGTCTCGCATGCCCGCTCTTCCCACGCCGGCCGACAGAAGGGTTGGGCGACGCTCTCGGATGGGCCGGAGGACGAAGTGTGGGACGCGAAGGCGTTCGGGCACGACAAGGTCCTTGATCATCCGGCGGATGATCCGGTGTATGAATCGGTTAGTTCTCCCTCACCCCTGCAACGCAATCACGAGGGCGAGATGGTGTTCTGATACCAGTATGTGGTAGATCAAGCTCGGACATGTGGACTCGCAGCAATGCCCCGCCTCCGATCCGGCCGTCCGCCGATTGCCACCACCAGAGTCATACGGCCAGTCTCCGCCCCCGTTCGATCACATCCAGGCCACTGACCTCGACTCCCTCGTCGCCTCCGTTCGTCATAATCGCACCGAAAGCTCTGATACTCACGATAGTCATCATTCAAACGATCTTCATCTTGATCCGCTCTTCCCTCATCATCAATGATTCCATTTTTCTTGGCTCTCTTCTATCTTGGCCCTTCTTCTTTCCTCTTGGTTCATCCCGCATTGTTATATATTTATCCTCACACTTCTGCACCGAAATCCCCCCCTTTCCTTTTCTCACTCTATCTCTCTCTCTATCCGCGCCAGCAGTGATTCCACTCTTGTCTGAGGAAGGAGACTTTTTTCATTTTTTCATTTTTTTTTGGTTTTGAATGTATATAGATATACACGAGAAAGGAGGACGAGTTGGTTTCTTGTATTCCTTGTTTATATAAATATATATAATGTCTGAGGGAATAATCCATACAGTGCTGGCTCTACTCCACAGACAGTGGCGTGCCAAGTATAGAAAACTCAAAAATAGTTAACTTTAAAATTACCCAATGCAAAAATATCAATCAAAGATTGATAACAACCAAAAAAGGCTTTTAAACACTTATAAGGAAGTGTAAGAGAAAAGAACAAGTTATTACCCTGCTACCAGCTTCCTAATAATGGATGTAAATCCTCAGAAGGGTTACCTAGACTTTAACACAGGTCTTCTGAATCAACTTATGAAAAGTTATTGAGGGGGGAGCTTCATTATAAGATAATAATAAGAAAGCTTTTCAGTACTAATGGTGGGCTGCTACGCTACACCATGCTACAGGCCAAGATAGCGTAGCGTAGCGGCCGTTTTTTTTTCGCCAATGCTATAGCGTTAGCGGCGCTACAGAGCCGCTACAGGGCGCTAGGCTAAAGCACTTGTAGCAGCTACTTTGCACTACAAAGTGCTGTAGTGTAGCGTAAGGAGACCTTTTTTGGGCCTTGTTCCGTTAGCGTTAGCGCAAAACTGCTAACGGCTACAACAAAATTTGTTAGCTGTTAGCGGTTTTAAGCTACACTACACTATGCGTAGCGTAGTGGGCCCACCATTAATTGAGGTCTGGAGACTGATTTGGTCACTTGGGGAGTTTGTTTATTTTGGCATGAGCTATATAGAAAGTCAGATGAGAGATTTTCTTTGTGTACCAGAGGACCATCTTCCATGAGATCTAGATTGAGGGAGCGGTCTGGTCGTTTTCCTGTAGAAATGACACTAAGCCAGGCTTGTAGACATGCTGGATGAAGCCTGAAACTTTTCAAGACTTTGGGGGTAAAAAGACCAGGTTGTTCTTAGTTTTATCAAAAAAAGTACCCCAAACCATTGTTGTGCTGTGACCAATCTTAAAGGTTGGTTCTAGGCAATTGGATTTGTATTTATTGTGTTTTGTTTACCAGAACAAAACCAATTGTGAATTCTTTCTGATTTCAAATGACAAATTGTCCGACTAAATGACTTTTTTCCAATTTTCAATTGTCCAGGCAAGGAAAATCAGAGCAAAATGAATCCTCTTCTTCCTTTGGACATTGTTGACATAAGGTTCCTTGACAGAAACTCAATTGTTGAAGCCCAGATTGTGTATTTGCTTTTGGAGGGTCCAGGTGGTGATTTGGGCAGTGAGACTGTCCCTGATTTCAGACAGCTTCAACGCAAGGTTAAAATTTCCCTGTGTGAATCATCCTAATTTGGATTATCTCAGGAAAGAGTTATAAGAAGTTGTCACCATAGAGCCCTCTTCTCTGGACAGAAAAATTCTGCTTCAAGTTTTGCATGTAACTAGGACAGCAGAATGATGATGATTTGGGAGAATATGTGGTGTATCAAGTGCCATTGGAGACAGATCCAAGTTTCACTTGGTGCAGTGCCATCTGGGCCCAGGGGGCTTGATCAATTGGGTGGGACTGGTTTTGGATCTTGGCACTTGAATGAACAAACAGCTCACTCACTTCAAAGGTCAAATTTCAAGTTGGCCATTCAAATACTGGTGCTCACTTAACCAAGGTGAGTGTCTTTTTTCTCTTACTGCATCTTCTGTCTTGTTTTTCTTAATTCCTTTCTTTTTTTTTTTTCTAGATTTCTGATTCAAGCTCTAATGTCATGGATGTGATTGACCATGAGATTGAGTTGAATAACAAGAAGTCCTGCAAGCTTGCCAAGCAACTTCATAGCTTAACCCAAGAGCATATTTATTCTTGGTTTAGAATTACAATAAATAAAAAAAAGGAAAACTCATTTATGTGTGCTTGTGTACCCCTTAAGCCAAGGGGTATGTTGATTTTGGGTGGTGGAAACTTTGTTTGGCTTTGGCCTAACCCTTGCCAACTTTGGCATGTGCCAAGCAGGGGTTGGGCCAGTGCCATGAAGGCTTGGCCATTGGCCAAGTTGGCTTTAGTGTTTGGGCACAA